GGACCTGTACAGGTGCCTGTACTCCACCTCTACACAGCCATTGTTGTGTGCGGCGACCAATGCCATTTTCACAATATTTTCAGTTATGCTGCTGTCCGGGTCCCTTACATTTTGCACAGAGAAAAAGAATCTTATTTTATGAAGATATCAAGAAAATTGAGGAATATATGGAAACATTATCGTTGAGATATAATACTACTGTATTAAAATTTTATATAGTATATAAACTCTGCCTAATAACACCATAAACCTACTTTAAACTATAAACAAAAACAAATAAGCCAAAGCCAAATAAGCTAAATAATAAATATTATCGTTATTTTTACACACAATGCTATACTTTTCTTCGTTGATATCTGAAAGACCTCAACATTTTTAAATAATTTTAAGAGGTCTTTTGATAGCATTATATCTAATTTATTTATTTAAGAATTTTTAAATGGGTTTAAACCGTCGAAAATTTTGTTTCGAACCCTTTTAACATTCTCAAAAATATTTTATTTCCTGATTTTAAAGGCTTAAAATTATTTAAAACCAGAACTTTTTTACCGTGTACCCTCACTCATAGTCCCTTTCCTCTAGCAACATTGCTATGTCCTTCCTCTCCTTTTAGCCAGCGCCATCGATATAGTTCCGGGTGTGGACTTGGCTTCGGACCTGGCCTGCTGCTCTATACATACATCAATTTAACAAGCAAGCATGCACCTGGGAAATTAGCTAGCAATAACGGTATTTTTCGGACAACGCCAACACCAGAGCTTATGACACCTGCATACGGAAATACGGTGGAAAAAAGCGCCTTTGGAATTTTCCAAGCATTTTCCTTGGAATCTCTCGAGTTGATCGCCTTAGAAGTGAATTTTTTCCCACTCAAGTGGGGGTCTTGAGTTATTTTTATTTTCATAAATTGAATTTCTTGTAAGACCACACGCGACTGATGCACTATTTATATAATAATTTAAACAAGAAAGGAAGCTATCTTCGGGTAATATATAATACCTTTGGAGAAAAATCCATCATAACTATGTCAAAAATTAATTAATTTTAATTTGGTAAGCTTTTATAAGTTAGTACTCATTAGTTTAATAAATCTGTATACTTATTTTAAAATTTAAAAAAAATTTACATTTTTATTAATTTTTTTTGTTCAAATTTTACCGATAATAAGGGTTAAAAAATGTTGAAATTTTGAAAAAATTTTATTTTTATCAGACATGGCTAGATCTAGTCAGCTCTTCGTGATCAAGAATATATATGGTTTAAGGGGTCGGAAATGACTCCTTCACTGTTTTTCAAGCTTTTGACTGAAATTATAAAACCCTCAAATAGTATAAAAATAGAACTACACTAACTAATGTAAAATGAATCTTTGCACAAATTTATGAATTAAAATAAAATTTTAAATGAATTCGAATTAAATATATAACATCAGACAAAGATATTATCAATGAATTACAGCAAGGAAGTGTTATAAGAACATTTTGTCAAACCTAACTAGGCACTAAATAGTCCTTAAAGGGTCAGACTTTGTCTTCAGATCTATGAAGAGCTTCACTTCACTTCACTCAAAATCTATCCCGCTGGCTTCAATTAAATCAAACACTGGCTTTCCACCTGAGAAAGTATTATTTTTAAAAACCATTCGCGATGTAGATGCCAAAGCAATCAGGACTCGTCGTCACGGACACCACCTGCAATCGACTGGCGTCAACAACGGAACCCCCATACCAAAAGCCCACCTGTCCTTGACTACACACACGCACAGACATCACTGCTAGAGATTGTGGAAGGATCCATGCATATTGCACCAAATTATCTACACAAAAAAAAAGAAATATATAGAGTAATAAAATAAATTATGCTATTATGAATTCTTGTAGAAACTATGAACTTAATATCATCATGCTAAGAACCAGAAGTTCCTGTCTCTTCTATTTATATAATTTGTACATAATAGCAGCATAAAGTTTGCTAATTAAAAACTATTTTCCAACTTCCAATTATATTTATTTTTTAAGAATTTATTTAGAATGTTTCTTACGAAATGTATATATTTCTCCTAGTGCACTCTTCGTATACATAGGGATTTGTTCACCCACGATTAGTTGACGTTGGCATATAGTACACATAGTGCAGTTTCCGCGCCATTTGCTGTCACTTCGCCAGTTTGCACATCGTCAGACGGCGACGGCGGTGGCGACATTGGCAACAACATCCCTGCCAAGACCGCTCAACCATCACAGAAGCAATGGTAACTTTTTTTCCTCAGAGTATGCGACATGTCCTTCGATATTTTTTGTCCCTTGCCCCCCACTCACATCCCTTGGCAACTGAAAAAGGGAGCAACTCGAACTGGCAGAAGGTTTGCACCGTGTTTACTTTTACTTTTCATAAGACAACAATTTCAGCTTCCCAGCAATTTTCCGTGCTATTGGGCCTGATCTGGCTGATGAGTGGCATTGCGTCCAACTTTTGGCCTAAAACTTTGCGGCCGCCCGTTCTCACGTTTCAATGCCAGATCTCGGCCGTGCATCAAGGTGGTCCAAGGAAGCACCTGAAATTTCAGGCCATAAATGCTGCACAGGGGAAAAGAAAAGCACAACCGGAAAATATAATACTATAAACTACTATTTCTATAAAATAAAGCACAAACTTTAACATTGTTTTAAGGTGGAAAAGGAATAATAAAAGCTACCTCTTAATGTAATGAAACGTGCATAGTTTTCAAGTGCTGAAATAACATTTGCAGTCTTTTTTAAATCCTTTAATTTTACCATTAATTTCAGCTTGAAAAAACAACAAAATAAACATGGTATTTAGCAATAATTAAGCTTTAAATATAATAGGTAATAGAGAGAAAATTTAAACAACGAAATTATTAATCTGAGAAGACACTCAAATACTTGCTTTTAATTTTCCAAAATCATTTCTTCATTGAAATTTTGTTTAATTCTCAACCGGTTTTCTTTCAGCTATAGATATTTTTTAAAAATTCTTTTCAGTTTCTAGCAAGCTCCAAGTCCAAGCCAAGCCCAGTAGTTGGCTCCATCTGTCGATTTGGCCGGGCCAAACGACAATTGCACTGGCTTCCTTGCCCGGGAACCCCGGATAGGATGTGGCTCGGTGCCGTGGCAATTGCGCTGATTGTGCAATGCAATTTGGCCAACGCCTTTGTCTCGCCTCGGTCAGGCAATTGAATTGCCCAAATTAGCTCTCGAGTGGACCGAAGGAGAAGAATGCTGCCAGAGCTTTCGAATTTGGCTCTGGCTTTGGTTCCTGTTTAAATCGTGGCCTCTTTAAGGAGGTGCATCGAAATTATGGCTATCCAAGGGGGAGGCTCCGTGACCCTCTTTACCAAAGGGTTAGCACCCTTCAGATCTGGCGCAATTGGATGCGAATAATAGAGGCTGCGTTTTGCGGTGGCCAGCGATTTGTGGCTTGAATGCACAGGGAACCATTGAGGAGACCACACACATGCCAGGATAGTTGACTCCCAGAGAGATAATATTGTGGTGGAAATGGATATATACACAGTGCTTAAAGCAAAGGCCAAAGTATATTCATAACTTATAAGAATCTAAGAGTTTTATTGAAATACTATTGATAATTTCCTTATTTTATTATATATTACTTATGCTTTGCTCTTTATTAATTTAAAATTTGTAATTCGTATGTACCCTGCTGACTCTTTCCTCGTGTCAAAACCTCAAAGTTAATTGAATTTAATGACACTTTTACATTTTCTTAACAGAATCTTAAACACAGCTCCGTTCTACAACATATTGCCACCAGTAGGGACATTGTCCCATCTACGCCTCTTGAAAGTTCACTTGTAATGTATTTAAATGAGAGACAAGCCCATAACCAGCGACGTTTTCCCGCTGGCCCACACGTCGTGAGTGCAAAAGTTTTGCTATTATTAAGGGCCTCATTGTCGGTTTTGTTGGACCCTCGGCGACTGTCCGCCTCCAACCTACGCCCCCTCACATTTTCCACACTCACACACACACACGACGGTGGGGAAATGCCTCCGCAGACTTTCCCAAACCACACAATAAAGAACAATATATTTCACACAACTTTGTTCATATTTTTAATGCCAGGAGTATAATAATTACGTTCATTGACTTTGTTAAGTAGCCTACTTTATGCTAATGTGATTTCATTGCACAAACTGGAACTGAAAATGGCCAAAATTGGGTTGGGGGTTTCCCTACCCCCGCCCCCCTGAATATTTTTACATAATTGAATGGGCAAAGAATTTAAGTGACAGTTTCTGTTGGATTTTGAAGTGCTCAGGGGTTTATGAATGGCTCAACTTGGGCTTATATGATGTAGTAATAATTTTAGATTTTTTGATATGCCATCATTTAGTTTTCTTGTACTTTAAATAGAATTCAAATTAATTCAGTTGTAATATATTAATATTACCCTCCAGAATCAACCATTTTAGAAGAACTCTGCTCTGCTGCACCTTTGGGATGTTTTATCCCAAAAATCCCCCTAAAATTCAGTTACCATTTAAAAGAGAATATTTTTTAAAAATTCCCAAGCTTGTTAATTTTTCCATACTGCCACAAAAGCGGTGCTCTTATCACCGCTTAGCAGAGGACCGTAAAAGCCTCAATTAAATTAAAAGAATTACGTAAACAGGAAAGGCAAAAAACATACCAGATAGGATGGGATATCCACGTAATATTTCTGTTTAAATGCGTAATTTTTTGGACCGACCGACTAGAAAAGACGACAAACCAAAAAATACGTTGCCTATATCGATTTCGTTGGTTATTTTCGGTCGCTGCATTGCTAATACGCCATGTTGTACGCGGCAATCCATCGATTTTTGCTGCTCGACTGCAATGTCAATATCAAAGGCACTGCGCGCCACAAGGCAAGGGAAGCCGTAGTAGGAAACTAACAGAGGAACTATTACAGAATTTCTATAATTGAATTTGCATGTGCGAGACCAGGTGCCACAATGCCAGGTATAAAGGCCGGATTGCCAATGGGCGTTAATTAATAGCCAAGCGGCCAACGCAACGCGGCGTATCCCGAGACAGACGAGCGCGAAACGTTGAACTAAAGTTGATTTTCATTAAAAATATCATCAACAATTTATAAATTTTTTATTTCCGGAGAAACTATAAATAAACAGCTTCAAAATGGTGGTCAACTTCAAGGTGTTTAAGAAGTGTTCCCCGAACAACATGATCACGCTCTACATGAACAGGCGTGAATTTGTGGATTCCGTCACGCAGGTGGAGCCAATCGGTGGGTATCGATATAAAATAGAAGATATTTAAATATAAAACTAAATAGAAATAATCAAAGATTCAACTCAATCAATATTGTAAATACAATGGCTTCAATTTAGATACTTTTACAAAGTTTTCAAGTCACTGGAGAGACTTCTTTTGTTCCCAAAAGTATACTCGACAAAGATTCAATTAACTTCCCTTTCTCTAGAGATATTTTAGGGTTAAGCAAATATCAAGTTCATGTCTTGGACATAATTAAATTCAGATATAATTTATTCAGGCCAAGACAGGCTTATTAAATACGTGACACCGAGTAGGACACGTGGCTTGGGGAGGGAGTTTACCTTATGTAATCTTCGATTAATTAGCATCCTTGGACTAACTCCACACTCCACTTTCAGATGGAATCGTGGTGCTGGACGATGAGTACGTGCGTCAGAACCGCAAGATCTTTGTGCAACTGGTGTGCAACTTCCGGTATGGACGCGAGGACGATGAGATGATCGGTCTGCGGTTCCAGAAGGAGCTCACCCTGGTCTCCCAGCAGGTGTGCCCGCCCCAGAAGCAGGATATTCAGCTGACCAAGATGCAGGAGCGTCTGCTCAAGAAGCTGGGCTCCAACGCCTATCCCTTTGTGATGCAAATGCCACCCAGCTCGCCGGCCTCGGTGGTCCTGCAGCAGCGGGCCAGTGACGAGAGCCAGCCATGTGGTGTCCAGTACTTCGTGAAGATCTTCACCGGAGACAGCGACTGTGATCGCTCGCATCGTCGCAGCACCATTAATTTGGGCATTCGCAAGGTGCAGTATGCTCCCACCAAACAGGGCATCCAGCCCTGCACCGTGGTCCGTAAGGATTTCCTCCTTTCGCCCGGAGAACTCGAACTAGAGGTCACCCTCGATAAGCAGCTGTACCATCATGGCGAGAAGATTTCGGTTAATATCTGCGTGCGAAATAACTCGAACAAGGTGGTCAAGAAGGTCAAGGCCATGGTGCAGCAGGGCGTCGATGTGGTTCTCTTCCAGAACGGACAGTTCCGCAACACGATTGCCTTTATGGAGACCAGTGAGGGATGCCCCCTGAATCCAGGCTCTAGCCTGCAAAAGGTCATGTATCTGGTGCCCACTTTGGTGGCTAATTGTGATCGTGCCGGCATTGCCGTTGAGGGTGACATCAAGCGCAAGGACACCGCCCTGGCCTCGACCACACTGTGAGTAGAGCAAAAAACTAATTGATTTCAATGAAATTAAGTAAATTGAATTCCCAAACTTGACCTAATTACTCTTATCTTGATCCTTTAGCATCGCCAGCCAGGATGCCAGGGATGCCTTTGGCATTATTGTTTCGTATGCTGTGAAAGTCAAGCTCTTCTTGGGCGCTCTTGGCGGCGAGCTCTGCGCTGAGCTGCCCTTCATCCTGATGCATCCCAAGGTTAACTTTTCTTTTAATATACCATCTGTATTATAAATTAATTTAATATTTTAACTACAGCCCAGCCGCAAGGCTCAACTGGAGGCCGAGGGCTCTATTGAGGCTTAAATTGTTAATTAATGGCTACCTCAATTTGAAGACAAAATGGCGTATTTCTACATGTCCAAACGATCAATGTAGACCTTTAAACAAAAAATGCTGATGTTGCTGAGATGTTCTGAACTGCAGTCGTCGTACTTTTCCTATATATCAAAACCAATATCCATATATGTGTGTATGTGTATAATAATTAATACAACTAAATATGAACAAAGAACTACAAATATTTATATGTAAACAAATAAAGAAGAAAAAAAATTATATATGGCTCGGAAATGATGGAATCTTATTAAATATCTAGACTCTCTGTGCATTTGTTAATCAACATTCATTAAAGGCATTTCCTCAGTACTTGGTAACTGACTTAAGTTCCTGATTATGCATTTATTGGAGTGCAATGGGGAAATCAACAGTGGCTGGCATATTCTATTGAAATACAAGGCAATGGGACTTGGCTCTTGTGGCTAACTAATTTCAATTATTGCCAAGGCTAAGAAGCTGAGTGGCAATATGCATTTTATTTCGGCAACCAAACCAGCTAAGGCAGCTTATTAAATGTGGTGTCTAATGCAGAGAACTGTGTTTAGTCGGAAGTTCATATTAAGGTTGCTTTTAATTAGTCGCAAATTCCTGATATATTCCATTCGCTGATAATGTTTTAGAACCGAATAAGCTTGTGGCCTCTTCAATTAACCCAAAAGATAAACTGTTATGCACATTTCCCTGCCACACAATGTTTATGGCTTGAAAAGCAACTAATCATGTTTGGGCCAACAAACCATTTTTCACCCAATCCAGGTGGCTGACGAGCCAGAAAACGATTTTGCATTGCTGTAATCGAAAGCTTCTTAGCCTGATTAGATTATACCCTTGGAGAGTGCGGCTGGGTATATAATCAAATTGCATTTCCACTACAAATCCGTACATAACATATATATACATTCATGTATAATCGATAAGATGGCGAGACTCAAGGCAGAAATAGTTGACCGCATTTATGGTTTAATCAACAATAGTTATAATCAGAGTCGGCGAGTCAAAAATACATGTAAACAAATAGTGGTTTTAATCTTAATTTAATTGTGTAAATACTCGACTTTCAAGTCACTTTTTTTAATGTCTTCATAATCAGGTTTTAGTTACCAACTGTTGAAATGTTATAGAACTCAAGTAGGGAATACCTATAGTCTAGCTGATTAGCAATAATTCACAAGAACTCAAGTGCAGTGGTCTGCATTTGTCAAGGCCTGTAGTCTCTGATTATATACATAAAGATTAACTCCAATCAGCACACAGAGAATAATATTTTAGAATAAATATTTAATAATAACAATTATATATACAAAGATATATAAACAAGATTGATAAATAAAGTTTCTTGACTATCCATTTCAATATGTAAGTTCTTGTTTGGTATTTTAATGAAAATAAAACAAATTCTCTATCTATTTAAATACTTTAATATAGGTTCCCTGTTAATATTTCTGCCAGTGGAGCTGCTATCGAGAAAGCGAAGCGAATTAATATGGCAGACATACTGATTAGCCGGCGGGTTTTAACTCGGTTGAGGATAATCTATAAAGTTCTCAGTGAATAAAAAAGCTAGTACAATTCTTCTGCTGGACATTCGGTGGCCAGTCTTTGTTTCGAATCGACATCATAATGTGCTGTAGTTGCTGCGGAGTGACCCAACAAAAGATCTGGGTCTTCGGACTGGGCACTCTATTTGCCGTCTCCGGACTCCTGGCCATAATATGCTGGCCCGGCTTTATAGACACACAGATCATGAAGGTGAGGAATCACAGTGTTTGTTTTAATACAAATTAAATTAATCGACTCAATTTCAGGCCCTGCCCCTGACACCCACTTCAAAGACCTTTGAGAAATGGGAGGAGCTACCCATTCCAGTCTATGTCTACATGTACCTTTGGAACTGGACAAATGCCAACGATGTCCAGGCCTACGGAGTGAAACCCAGTTTTGAGCAACTGGGTCCGTATGTCTATCGGGAGGAGAGAAAGAAAATGGACTTGGAGTGGCATGACAATGGCACAGTGACCTTTAATCCCAGAAGAACCTGGTTCTGGGAGGAGGAACTCTCGGGCGGCAAGCAAACGGATTTAATCACAGCTCCGCACTTGCCATCACTGGTGGGTGAAATTAATCAAATAACTTTATGATTACATTAATAGTTTCCTTAAAATTATCTTAGGCTGCCGCCAATCAAATGAGGGATAGCAACTCCTTCCTCAAGTTCATGTTCAACCAGGCTCTAAATGCCAACGGAGGACACCTTTTCGTGACACACACGGCGGACGAGTGGCTCTTTAAAAGCTTCTACGACGAGTTCCTAGACTATGCCATGAACAATCCCCTGGCTCCAGAGATCGAGTCGAATCACTTTGCTTGGTTCCTCAACCGAAACGGTTCAAAGGACTTTGAGGGACCCTTCACCGTACACACGGGCGTGGGTGACATCAAGGAAATGGGCGAAATCAAGTACTGGAAGGGACAGAATCATACCGGCTGGTATGAGGGCGAGTGCGGTCGCCTTAATGGCAGCACCACCGATCTCTTTGTACCCGATGAGCCCAAGGAGAAGGCATTAACCATTTTCATACCGGACACGTGTCGGATCATCAACCTGGAATTCACCGGCGAAAGCGAGACCATTCAAGGCATTAAGGGTTGGAAATATGAGATCACCCGGAATACCTTTGACAATGGTCAGGTGAATGAGAACATGAAGTGCTGGTGCCCGGTGGAGAGGCAACCAAATGATTGTCCTGCCACCGGTGCCACCGATCTTGGACCATGTGCCGATGGTGTACCCATGTACCTATCCGCGGATCACTTTATGTATGCGGATGAGAGCTATGCCAGTACCATCAATGGCTATCATCCCAACTATGATGAAAATAACTTTTTCATCATCATGGAGCGGAAAATGGGTGTACCACTGAAGGTGAACGCCAATGTAATGATCACTCTGTTTATACAAGAGGACAAGGATATTGAGTGAGTGGTTTTAGGAGTTAATTATATAAATGTATACATTTTTATATAATATTTTCTTACAGCATTCTAAAGGGTCTGCCAAGTTTCTATGCCCCAATGTTTACCACAGCCAGTCGTGCTGAAATTGATGAGGCCCTGGCCTCGGAACTTAAGGTATTTCAACTTATTTATAACAAACTATTAGCTTAAATAACAATATTTATATACTTTAGCTGGCTCTCAATTTGCCTGCCATTGGTAGATACACTGGGGTGGGATTACTTTGCCTCGGCTGCATTCTTATAGCCGTTGGCACCCTGCTCACGATCAAAAGGAAATGGTATGGCCAACAGGAGGCAGATCGACTGGCCCTCAAGGATAATGAGGAAACACCAAATGAACCCGATTCGGTGGTCGATGAAATCAATCGGAATTCGTGAAATAATATTCCATTCCTCACACATATAAGGAAGAATTTTGTAATCGTTGTGATTTTCTGAGAACAAAGTGTGATAAATATATATAATATTTAATATTTATATAAATATTTAACAATATTGATCATTTTTGGGAAGGTGAGCATCTCATAGCTGCTTTTTTTTCTTCTGCTTTTCCTCATTTCCCATTACCAGATTATATTTTTGGTAATTCTTGAAAACCCCGGAATTCTTTATAAGCCCATAAATTCCTCAAGTCTTCATAAAAAACATCTCGCAACCTTTTCTTGTCTTGAGTTTGAATCAGGTTAGTGTGCTCTTATTATTATTATTATTATTAATTATTTATTAATCTATATTTATAATTTTGAAATAGTTCTTAATGAGTGATTAATTTATTCCTTGTTTTGATAAATTAATATTTATGAGTGGTTGGTTAAGCTCTTTGTTTATTTTATGTACGTTTAATATTACAGTATAGAAAAGTGTCATTATATTTAAAGTACATAATATTATAATATATAGTTTTCACTTGTCTCGTGACACAAAACGATCTCGAATCAATTTTCGATTTAATTATTTTATAAACCAAATTTTTCTTATCTGATTAAGTGGCATTTATAAATATTTGAGTAACTTTCTTGTTATCTCATAGACTCAACCACCTTTGGCTCAAAAATCATAAAGAGAACAGTTGAGGGTGTGTACTACAGAGAAAGCTTTTGCCTCTCGTCCTATCTGAATTGCTTCAAGTTAGTTAACGCATTCAAAACAAAATTTATAAATAGAAAAGTGCGCCGCCGGGAATCTAATCTCAAAACTCTTCCATCATCAATCCTCCCTCGAGTGGAATCCGATAAATACAAGTGGATTAAATGGCTTAAAGACCAGTTTGCCGGGATCGATCGAACGCGATGTGTTGCAATTGCTGCAGTGTCCGTCAGCAAAAGTTTTGGGTCTTTGGCCTTAGTAGTGTTATCCTGGCCATTGGAGTCTTCCTGGCTGCCGCCTGGCCACCGGTTTCTCGTCAATGGATACGTAGCATCATGCCACTGAGTCCCAACTCCTTTATGTACAAGCGATGGGTGACCACACCCATGCCCATATACAGCACCATCTACCTCTTCAATTGGACCAATCCGGAGCAACTAAACACAGCAGGTGTTAGGCCACACTTTGAGCAACTAGGACCCTATACTTTTAGTGACTTTAAGGTCAAGGAGGATCTGGAATGGAACCCAGAGAGACCAGAGGTGACCTATTTTGGCAAACGCACCTGGCACTTTCTGCCGGAAAAATCCAATGGCACCCTCGAGGACATTGTGGTAGCTCCACATTTTGTATCGCTGGTATGTTGGTAAACATTTTGCTGAATTCTGTGCTAAAATGTGGAGTAATCTCGGCTAATCCCGCTTTCCGATTTAGACAGCTGCCTTATACTCGCGCCGATATCGTCGCACCCTGCGCAAGGTCATGAACTTTGCCCTGAACCGCGAGGGCGGCGACACCCACATGACCCACTCGGCGGGTGAGTGGCTCTTTGATGGCTACTACGACCGACTGCTGGACTTTGTGGAGCAACTGCACTCGCCCCTGTTGCCCATTTACAGCAGCAACTTTAGCTGGTTCTATGAGCGAAACAACTCCAAGACAGCCGAGGGCAGCTTTACGATACACACGGGCCATGGTGATCTTAGCCAGATGGGAGATCTACAGCTATGGAATGGGCAAAATACCACAGGTTAGTCTGTAAACTAAGTAATTCACTTATAACTTATAAAATAGTCATTTTCCCTGATAGGTTTCTATCCCGGCGAGTGCGGCAAAGTCAATGGTAGTACGGGGGAACTCTGGTCACCGGAGCGAAGGTGGGATCAGCCCACTTCAATTTTCCTCAAAGATGCCGCCCGGTATTTGAATCTCTTTCCCCAGAACAACCTCACCATAGATGGCATTCCCGTGTGGCGCTATGAATCCACTAATCTCACCCTGGACAATGGCCAGCTGTCGCCAGACACAAAGTGCTTTTGCGTAGAGAAACGTGAATGTCCACGCAATGGAGTCCTTGACTATGGACCACCTGCCTTCAATGGTCCTTTCTACATGTCGCATCCACACTTTTACCTGGCCGATGAAATCTATCGGGAGAATACGACAGGACTAAGGCCAGAGAAGTCGGAGCATGGAATGTTTGTGATAATGGAGCCCACCATGGGAATCCCTCTTAGCCTCAGGGGACAACTCATGGTTAGTGTCCATGTGGAGCGAGATGAAGCAATTGAGTGAGTAGAGATTAAGTTTCGAATAACTATATAATTAAATCCCCATTAAAGTTTCTTTAAAGATGTGGCCTATAATCACTATGCACCCCTCTTTACCATGCAAATTCATGCTGAATTGGATGACAATCTCACAAGCCTACTAAAGGTAACTATAAGAAAACTAAATACAAGAGATATAATACTATAAAATACCTTTTCCCTAACAGCTGGCTTTAAATGTGGCCAAAATTGGCCAATACACGGGAATTGCTTTACTCTTGCTGGGTCTTATTGCAATCATAGTTGGCGTCTTTGTCACAAAGAATCACAAATGGCATGGCAAACAAAGACCCCAAGTGGCTGAGAAGAAAGCCAACTGCACTTGAACTAACACCACCGATAAGAGATAGAGAGAGAGTTAACGCCTTAATCGTTATTATTCCTGCCTGGTTGCCCGATTGAGGTGGCTATAATCAGTCAGTCAGTCAGTCAGGGCCATGGGCGATGGGGCCATAAAAAATGCAAATTATATGGCCCCCAGTACCGGATTACGGATTATCCAATTTCGTTCAGGTGTTGCCCAGCTGCAGGCATCTAGAATTACACAGAATTATGGCCTTTCAAATATGCTAAAATTTATTAATATGTTAATAATTGTTTTTATTTTTTGCTGTTGCCATCATCGGTTCGTGTGGCGGCAAAGCCTTGAGCACGTAAGCTGCATACTTTATGGCGTACGAACTCTTTCACCAGGCAAAAGGCACCACCAGAAGGCAGCAAATACCAAACTGGAAATTTGAAAAATGCCAAAAGAATATTATAAGCGACTAATTTATATGCGGCAAGCACGCAAACTTACGTTTTGCACACACACACATTGTTTGTGAAAGGACGAAAGGAGCCGGTTAAACAATGTACGAAAATGTGAAAATATGAAAATTATATGACTGCCAGTATGTGTCGGCCATAACTTTAACAAAATCTCATTCCGAGGAGGGGCAGGCAAACTGGGGTAATAAAATACATTTAAATAGAACATACATTGTTAAAGCATGTATATGAAATATTTCCTTAAAGATAAAAATATGAATTCATATATAGAAAACCAAGTAAACCCCTCAATGAGATTAATTTTAAATAGGTTTCATAAAAAGTGCCACAAAATTAATTGCCATTTACTTTTACTTATTTCCCTTTTGGTAATTATGAAATTGAATTTACACTCACACTCAACACACGTAAGACGTATTTGCCATTGAATTGCAATTTTCTCTATTTGAGCTGCAAAAACCAAGTAAAATTCTTGCATATTTTAATGCCAGAATTGAATTTATAAACTGAATTTAAAACTGTGACAAATTGCCAAAGGCAGGTCCGACATATTTATTAAAATTTATTTTACAGCCAGCTTAGTGTATCATTTTCCCTGTAACATATCTCATTTTATTACATTTTTGTTTTTAAATCGCTCGACAGCTTTTGATTTACAACCAAAAGAGGCATTTTCACTATGTTTACCAACTTTATTATTTATTTACATACATTTTAAAGACTTTCTTTGACATTAAATGTAACATAATAACAATTTTCTGGTAATAATTCTCTTTAGTGGGATTATTATTTTATACATTCCCAGGCTAGGCCAGTGACTTTTCAAGGGTTGACTGCAAAGCTCAGGAATTATTATATTTTCGGAGTTGTTCTTCTAACCACAGCAATTGTGCCGGGAATTTTTAATGAAATATTTAAGAAATAAAAGACGAAAAAAAAGGAGGTATAGAGAGTCTGTCAGAAAAGGTGGCCGCCAGCAACAAAAACATTTAATTTTGGAAATAGGTTGTCAAGGTAAACAGACTGCCTGACATTTTTATACTTTTTTCGTACATTTTCTTAATGGTTAAGATACCCAATAAGGAGAGGCTTGCGGAAAGTGATTACTTTTTAAGCAATGTGTATAATATGATATATTAAATATCCTAATAATCTGTGATTAACTGCTCAGGATATTAGATATAAGAGAAGATATTTTAATTGTTAACAATATATATTTTATAGAAATCAGTTACCAAATAAATATATAATATATTAAACTAGCAGTAATTCAGATGTTTAATATGTTATGCTTAGTAATTTCTAATTTATTTCCTCTTTATAATTATAATTCAGCTTCCCTGAATCTTTAAGGTTTCCCCAAGGTAACCACGGTTTCGTTACCTCTAACATTTTTCTATAATTTTTTATAATACCTTCTGTGGTTATCTTTTTTTCTGTAAGAATAACAAGCAACAGATCGCCTCAGTGGCCGACTTCATTATTTCGACTAAATCCGCAAAAAAAGAAAGAAAGAAAGGAAAAAAGAGCTTGAACGAGTGAGTGAGTGAGTGAGTGGTGTGTGTCCCATCCTGTCCATGTCCATGTCCTGTCCCATTGTTGCCTGCTGTCCGTTTATGTCGCGAAAACTTCGGTGTCCTAATCTGCTACCCGACTTGCATACTAATTTGTTTGCTTCGCTCCTTTTCGGGGAATCCCCAGCTACCTCGTCCTTGCTCCCTTGCCCTGCTCCTGCTCCTGCTCTTGACCATCGTTTTGGCCGCCTTTATGGTATTTTGGGATGCTGACAACCCGTAGATTATGTTGTTGGCTTTGGCTTTGTGTCTGAGTGTGAGTGTCATGTTGCCTTGGCTTACAGATTTTCCAGAATACAGAATACAGAATCCAGGATCCAGGGGACCTACCCCGCCTGTTTGTTTATTTCTGTCGGCCGTCTATAAAACCCTGTTTAGCTGCTTAATTTTTTCCTTTGTCATGTTGACAGTCTCCCTCCTTTTTTGGGCTCAAGGACTCTTGTGTTTGCGGGACAGCCGCTTGTTGGGTCCATTTTTCGGACAATTTAATGTTATTTAATTGGCATTTAAGTTTGTCGCAAATGCCTGTGTTACTCGCACACCGATAAGGCCGTCATTATATTAATGCTAAGGTCAGTCGTCGAGAATGTCCTTGAAATAATACTCTTCTGCTGTGAATTAAATTGTGAAATAATCAATGTGTTTCATGGATTATTTCTCTGTATTTAATTTAAGCATATTTAAAGTGAACAAGCCAAATGGCATTAAATATTCAAAGCATATTTGTTTAGTTGAGCTCACTCCAAAAATATTCTCATAAATTTATAATATACATTTGTGAATGCTTCGCTAAGCTGCATATAGGTTTTTTATTAACATTCATTATTAAATTTAGTCCGGTAGCTGACCCCACAATTGGCCACTAAATAAATCCGCTTGCAATTAATAATTTGTGACATTTTAACTACAATGTTGTAACCGCCATTTTTCGTATATTTCCGCCCCCCTCAGTCCAAAATTTATGTTACAATTTTCTATGCCATGTGAAATGGATCTTCCTTTATTTTAAGGACTCTTTTTTTTGTTGGAGAGCAGCGCAAATTGGATTGGGCTTTTGGCGTTGGGTCAGATGTTACAAAGTTGACAAGGAGAGTGAGAGAGAAATCTGCTGTAAAAAAATTTTTAAATAAACATAGCTAACACCAAAACAAAACCAGCACACAAAACATGACAAAAAAATAACGCCGGAAAATATGCTGTTGGAAAAAAATTTAAAAATTCAATTTAAAAAGCATTCCGGAATTGTTCCCGCTGCGCTTTTTCCAAACGTCCAAAGGGTTCATAAAATTGGGTTATGGATAGAAAAATAGCAAAGGAGGGGCTCACAAGGGCGGCAGCCAAACAATTTATGTTTAGTTTTATCTTTTCTCACAATTTTTCCAACTATGCATTTGCATTTGGTCAAAAAATATGAAATGAGTAAAAAAGGAACACTATGGATATATACAGATATCTGGTTTCAGTTTCATTTCCAGCCAATTGATAAAAGTTGAGGGAATGTTAGTGAGTTTAGCTAGAAACTAATTTAATATTTCTGCCAGTAATTTAACTTCTGGTAATTTACTCCTGTTGAAGATTCTGAAATGAATACCTCAACTGGCAGCTGCCAACTCTGCAATACGTATACGCAGTGTAGACTGTTCAAAACACATAACAGATTCAGTTACCCAATTCACTAGCAGCCTTACAAACTAATTAATAATTTCAGAGAAATAAATTCATTTGGCTTATGCTCTCGATAATTAACTGACTACCCACAAGTTTCGTACTTAAAACAGCGACTAGCAAACACACATTACGTATACGCCATGTGGGACAATGTCTGTGTGCTGAGCGTTCTAATTGCTGGCATTTATGAAGTGAACGCATTAAGCCAGAAAGCATTATGCAAAACTGCAAACGCCAGCAAACTTGCCAGCTTTAAGTGAAGTCTGAAGCCAAGATGCTGCAGCTGCATCTTAGGGGAAAAATATAAAAAGGATATCCTTTCCTCGAGGATAGAAACATTAAACCAGACAAAGTGTTGGACACTTCACTCCACAGGCAAGATGGCTTCAAGAATTTGGCCAAAAACGAGGAGTACAAGCACAAATGACCAAGGCAATTTCCCCCAGTGTTCTCTCGTTTCGGGGAGGTCATTGATGCAAATGCAATTTCATTGTGTGTGTTTACCAGACACTTTACCATAACCTATTATACCCCTCTTTTTAATACTACACCCCTTAAATTTACAACCAGTATCCTATCCGCTCTTGGCCTTAGGCCCTTATATGTATATCGAAGCGACAGCTGGCGTATGTTTTCAATCAACTGAATCGCAAAATATTCGCACTTCCGTGTTCGTTTCCGCAGCGTATTATCGATCAGCCACCTGGCTCAACAATTTTCACACTTAAACCGCAGAAATTTTGTTAAATTTTTCATTAAAAATACATGGCCTGGCAATTGTGGCAGCTGTGTCTGTGCCGGCATCAAAATGTCACTGCAGTTTTCCCTCCTCTCCTCTCACTGTCCCCGGGAAAAGCTTTCTGCATCCGTTCTGGCAGCCATGTGTAAAAAGTTTGGAAGTGGCGGACGTTGAGGGGAGAACATGGAAAATTCAGTTCCTCCAACGGAATAACCAAACAAGTTACAGTCTGACAATTATATATGGAAATATCCATGAATTTCAGGAATGTGGCATGTATTTATTCAAGAACTTCTTGGAGGGGGTCTTGAAAATTGTGAAAATATCTTGGTATTATCTTTAGGCAGTGATAAAGTGATACTTTCACTTAAAATATCTCCTTGAGTTAATCAATTATTCAATTGTGCCTTAAACGTATCCTATTAAAAAATAAATTAACAATATATCCCATTAAGTAACTCCTTAAATTACAAATTACCTCATCTAGTCAGCATCAGCCACCACCATCAGAGTCTGTCTCTTTATTTCCCCCATTTAGAAGCCATAAATTTTACCCTACCCAAAGCATTGTTTAAACATATATCTGAATAATCAACTATGAAATTCTATTCGCATTCCATTGAACCCGTTGTCAACCGCATGCCGTTTACGCCACTGGGCTTTCCATAATTTATTTACAAACCAAATAATATATATATAGAGATACATGTGACTTAATGCCGCACGGAGCCCCGGCATTTAATTAAGGCAAATCCGTGACTATGGAATGACCTGGTTCATTGTGCAATGAGAGTATCACAGCGCAGCGGCATTTAATAATGTCAATTTCCAATGACTTGTGTGTGTGCCTTGATTTAGTTAAGGATGCTGCTGCCAATTTACAGTCCTGCCGCAGGACTCATTGTATCCTGTGCCCTGCGCACCGTATAGGTGAGTTGGAAACCCGTCTCGCCGGCACTCGACTGGGCATCGCTGGCAAAGAGCAGGACGAAGGGTGGCCGGGCGATGAGCTCCTGTCCATTGAGTCCATTCCCACAGTAGTGAGTGGCCTGGAGCTCTGGACGGGACACCAGGTACGAGTTGGGAACACTTAGATAGTCGGACACACGTCCGGCAGTCTTGACTGTACTGCGACAGTCGCTGTCATAGCCAGGTCCTGGCTCCTGGGAATTGGCCTTCGAGAGCTCAAAGTGATCGATCTTGTAGCTGCGTTTTTTGGTAAGAGAAAACTTGGTATGTAAACTTTTGTAATTGATAATTGTAGTTCCATTATCTCTCCTCCTTGTTTTGATATCTTGTTACCCCAAAAAACCATCTCTGTGACTCACCTTATCTCACTGTCTGCCGCTCCCTTCACGCAAATTGAATACCTGACATTCGGCATATAGATTCCTCCAGCAAAATTGAAGCTCACAATGCCCCCCGTTGGAGTCCTAAAGTACTGATCACAACCCAGAGGAGCCAGTAGCTCCAGATCGGATAACGAGGGTGTCCTCAAGGATTGTATGAGCTGAGCAGCGGGTCCAGAACCCGAACCAATTCCAGATGCTCCACCGAAAATAGTACGTGGCAAAAGATTCCCCAAAAAGGGCAGAATAGGACGCACAGTGGGCATAATGGGTTGCCTGGGTACCAGGTCCTTGGTGCTACTCCTGGGGCACTCCAGCTGCGTTAGGGTCAATTGCCAGGCACTGGACTGCTTCCCCAAGGCTGTGACCAAACGAAAATGTAACTCCACCTCCTGACCTCCTCCTCCAATGGGTAAGTACAGGTGCTGGCCGCTGCTGCGACCACAGAGCCGGAAGCGCTGAACCTGCACAAAATCCAGGCACTCCAGCAGCCGAGTGCTCTCGTTCACCTGCGGCTGGGGCAGCTCCAGGCGATCGAACTGGACGAGCAGCTGACACACCTGACCACTCCACGGGGCCACACGGTACTGGCACGCGTCCAACTTGGCCAATTCGCTGGCTGCCGGACTGCGGATAACGATGCGTTTCTGTGCGGTTCGCGAATTGCAGGCCACCGCCACCTGACAGCGGACAGGTGTGAGGGCAGGTGAGAGCACGACCGAGAGTAGCAATAAAACTATAGAAAAATCCATTCCTCTTCTCTGTTTTCGTTTCGATTGTGACCATTCTTTTTCGCTGAGCTCAGCTTTTATATCACCTGAAAGGCCTGGGAGGTGTCCCAATAGATAACTGGCATTGACATTTGGTGATAACACTCGATGCCAGATATAAGTTACGATAATGTTTCTCGACTGAGATGCGTCCCTGGCAACTTTACAAAGTGATTGTGAAATATTTGGGGGGAAAATATAAAGAGTTTGGTGAGTGAGTCAATAGATAAGTTTGCAAAAGTTTTCTGTTGCATTTCAGCAAAGAAAGCAAGAGTTTTCAATTTGAAAATAAATTTAATACCTTTAAAATTACATTTCTTAGTTAGCATATAATTCCCTATCTAAGCTTTCTAATCACCTACTGCTTCTTATGATTTTCTTCTACTTAAGCCTAACCACAAAACTTGTCTTAAACTCTCCACCTCAAGTGGAATTTACTTCATTTCCCCCATCAGCCTTGTAATCATTATCGAATAAATAATAACCAAGAAAAACGCCTGGTATGCATGCTATCTTCCACTCCTCCCTCCGGCAGATAACATTTGTTCTGGTTCACTTTAAGCCTTTTCTTGGCTCAAATAGGAATTCATTGCCCAAACGTTTTATCAATAAATGCCACAAGGAAGTTTTACGCACTTTTTATGACAAGGATACACACACGCACACGCACACTTTGGCCGAGAGGCGTTTATGGGTGTCTTACACCTTTTATGAGCTCCAACACCCACCCACCCCCCCCCCCTCCAAGGTCCTTGACGCACGTAAAACAATAAAATTCGTGGCATTTATATATGAGGCATGGCACACCTATGATTGTATTTGGAAAAAGGTGCAAAGAGGTCTGGGTTTATGTTTGCATATTATTTTGCGGCATAGTTTTGCCCTGTAATTAAAATTAAATGCTTGACTACTATTAAATTTTATGTAAAGTGTGACATAAAAAAAATATATATATATTGCGAAGGTGGCGCTAAAATTAAACAAACGACCAAATAATACTTAAATTGCATGCACAGCGCGATTAACATATCAACGGCAACAAAAAACAACCAACAAAATGTCATAAACCAGCGGCGAAAATGTTGTTTCCACAGCAAATTTTCCAGCTCTGCATTTTCCAACAATGGCGCGCGCACACATTTGCGTTCAAGTTTCAAAAATTTATGGCCCAAGTACAAGCCTGGTTAAAAAACAAAGCCAGTCGTCGCCGGCAAGCAACCTTCAAAAAACACAACACAAAAAAATAAAGCAAAACTTGAAAAACGAAAAGAAATATTTATAACCGGAGCAAACAAAAAAAAAAGCACACACACACAGCTCGTGCAGCCGTCGCATAAAAATGAAAACTATGTACTAATAAGCAAAAACAAGGTGGAAAAAATATGAAACAAAAAAATAAAAAAAAAAACTAACGTCGTTAGCAGAAAGGAAAATGGGGAAATGTAAAAGGTGCAAAAATTGTCGAATTTACTCAAGGAACACGGCATGCTCTTGAATTATTAAAAAGAGCAGGCTTTTCGTCAAAGACATAAGAAAGGTGGCATTTGCCGTGAAGGTATTTGTTTAGGTCCTTTTTATAAAAATGTCTTTAATTAGTGTGAAAATAATTTTAAAGAATTATATACAAATTTGTACCATTTTAGGGTATAAGAATTAAATTAAAAGCATGCAACTTGTGAAGGAGTCGTTTACGAAGTTTTCCGACTATAAATCATATATATTCTTGATCAGCATAAAAAGACGAGTCGATCAAGCTATGTCCGACAACATTATAATTTTTTTTAAATTTCCAAATTTTTTAAGGGAATACACCGTTAAAATTTTACAAAAAAAATGGACAAAAAATTACATTTTTTTAAACTTCATATTTAATATGCTGATTTATTAATTGAATAAAAACTAATATAGGAACGCTTTCCGAATCGAAATTAATGCTGTTTTGGCTGAGTTATGACTTTTTTAAGTTTGATTCGTCTAAAAAATTGTCATTTAAAATTATTAATGAATGGTATTACAATTTCGGTCAGAAGCTTATAAAAATGTGAAGGAATCATTTCCGAACGAATAAGTCATATATATTCGTGATCAGGATCAACAGCGGAATCGTTCTAGCTATGTCCGAGTGAACAATATTTTTTTTAATTTTTTCCTTTTTTTCATTGAAATATATAGATAAAATTATACAAAAATTGCCAAAAATTTTAATTTTTAAATTGAGTATGCAAATTTGTTAACCTAATAAAAAAATAACATAGGAAAGCTTTCCGAATTGAAATTAATGCCTTTTTGTCTGAGTTATGAGTTTTTTTTTTTATTGGTCTAAAAAATCTCCGATTTAAATTTCCCATTAAATACTATAAAATAGTTGCTTATTGTCACTTAATTTCATTATATAAAGAAAATTTTAAACAAAAATGTACTTAATCAACGAAATTAGGCCTTTGCCCATCAATAATTTCTTCTACCATTACCTTAACCAAAAAAAATATACAAAAAAACGTATGTAAACTTTATTACTATAACCAAAGGCACCAAGACATGACACGCCCACATATGGTATATAGTATATTCCCGGCAGACTTCATCAGCAATTTGTAATACCTACTTTCCAAGGGCATATTTTCCAAGCCAACGAAAAACGACGGAGAACAGAAAGTTTTGTTGTAACCGCAGCCACAGCAGCGCTCACGTATTTATGTCAATGTTTTGTTTGTAGTTTTTTACTCATTTTTATTTTTTTGGCTTTAGTCTTGGCCACCTTCTGCCTTAACCCCTTAACCCCTCGTTGCATGTCGTGCCCACTTGTTTTACCTTTGAACCCTGGCGAAAACAAGAAGTGACGCCGCCGCCATCCCTCCGAGGGCTCCTGTGTTCAGTGTTCAGTGTTCTCTGTTTTCTGGTCTCGACTCGAGCCAGCTTTATGTGATCAACAACTTGTTTTGTTCTGGCTCAAGTTGAATGCGAAAATTGCAGAGGAGCCAAGGAGCAGAGGAGCAGAGTAAGTGGAGGCTACGAGACCTAGGACAACAGCCACATCAAACTACAAGTGCCTGGGACGTCAAAGCCATGCAAACAACACTTCAACAGAAAATATTTATTGGTAATGGGTCTTCCTTTTGTTAAATTCTTGCATTAAATGAAATTATTTCTCCATTTTCAATTATAAATTTAAGAAAATATATCTACATTCAAGTCAACATTATGAAATACAAATACAGGAATAACAGAAGGAAGTGTTTTAAAGTTGTTATATTGTTAATTAAATTTAAAAAAACAGGTTTATCTTCTAAAAATATTAATTTTGTGAAAAATTTAATGTGCTTTTGAAACATTTTGGAATTAATATTTAAAGAGGTTACTTCTATTTTAAAAGTAAGGGTCAGAAGTGTAAGGAACGAAGATGTATTTAAACCAACTTATTAAGTATCTACAAAATTTTAAAACGTTTTGATGCTTAATTTCTTAACTAAAAACAGTTCAATAAATATTTTTTATAAATCTAAAATTATTTATTAATCAGAAATAATATTAGCTCAAAGGAAACTCTTTTATTCTTCCGGCCTACAAAATGATTAAAGTCTTAGATCAGTAAGTAAACCACAACAAATATATTCATACAAATGATAAATTTAATAAAAAACTATGATTCAAATAATGAGTTTTCCCATCAATAAAATTAAAAATAAGTTTTAATGTAGAAATACAATGTTTTCCAAGAAGTATTTACATTTTTCCGCTGTGCAATCAATTTCCTTAGGGGTTTTGCTCAGGGCCCCAAGAAAAACTTATTCTTTACACAAAAAACTTACTTTCTTATTTGTTTTGTGTCCTATTTTTTATTTTATTTTGAATAACGGCCGTATAAAAATAATGTGGCAATGTCCTTGCGGCTTCCAAAAATTGCAAATTGCACTTCTTCTACCCGCTTGATCGAAATTTAGTGGCAAAACTTCTCGGGCAGCTGGTCGGCGGCGGCAACGAAAAGTGTGTCGCATAAAAAAGCCAATTAAGTGACATTCGATTGGTTCGTCCTGCCCTGCATACGAAAGCAGATTGCACGACAAACTTCATATCCTGCGGGGAGAGAAAGAAAGAAAGGGACGATGCCACGCCCCAATCATAAATATAAACAAACGCGACGGCGCGACGACGACTCTGACTTTTCCATCTAAAATGGAAATCTGCCGGTAACAAGAACATGCATATTTCCCCGGCTCGTGTTGATTTTTCTCCGCCCAGCCCTCGTGTTTGCTTATCAAGTGCAAATGCATGCAACTAGCGGTGGCAGCAACAAAAGCGAATAATAAGAATAACAACAAAACAGCTCAGCTCAGATAGGAAGTGGCAACACGTCGCTCTTTCGCTCCTCCCCTTGTGTGCCGTCAAGAAAAACGAGTTGTTTCCGGCACTCAAACACTTTCTGATTGCAGTCCCGAAAAAAAAAACAGAAACATGGAGAAGAAAAACGAAGAAAATCCTGGTGAAAAAAATATATGCGAAAATATGCAGCAGACTTTTGTTGCCGATGCTATAAATTTAAATGCAATCGCATTACGCGAAAGCAACAAATATACGAAATGGAAACATTCTCGAAAGGGATTTCGGGTGTTTCTCTTTGGGTAATTTATGTGGCCTGCTTTTGGGGGCTCCGAACTTGAACTTGGGAAATGCAGGAAAATTACTGCCACAATTTAAATGCAATTCGATTGGGAAAAGTAATATAAATATAATATTAAGGGGATAAGAAATATCAAATGCAAGTAGTGGTAATGTCAAGTCTTTCTCATGCTTTCTATTTAATAAATTTAAAAATAAACATCAAAATAAATTATTCAAATGTGAAATTCTTCCATTTCACAATTCTTTTTCATATCCATTCCCCATAACTTTCATAATTTGTATATTCCCCACAAGCGAATTGGATTTTGGGAACAATTTCATCTACATATAGATTTCCTTTCGGCCGGATGATGTTGACAAGA